CATGGCTTTCGGTAGATGGACAGTTGCAACCCCGACGGCGGTTACCCCATTAACGATGAATTCCAAATGAATCCCTCGTAATTTTTTGAAATATTGATTTTTCTGATTGAGGCTACCAGTGGTAAAATATGTTCTCTCCCTATCTATCTCTTTCTCTCTCTCTCTCTCTCTCTCTCTCTCTCTCTCTCTCGCTTATCCACACACTTGACCTTCCGGCAAATTTTGGAACAAGAACCTTCGCGGTACTAATTTTTTATGTAGCTGTGAAAAAAACGCCAGATGGTCTTTATGTCAGCGCCGTAGTCGAAATTATTTTCGACGAAGTGACAAAGATGGTCGCAGCTTTTCGAAATATTATTTTTCTATTCCTCTTCAAAAGGTCTAAAAAGCGCTACAAAGTTTTCGTCCACATGTTTTGTAAGCTTCAAACTAAAATTTTAGAAATGGTAGATTTAAAATTAAACTTAAACTTTAAATTTTACAACCGCCTTTTCCGGAATCGTGTAATAGAATTGACACTTTGGCACATTTTAGGAACCGTCTGCCGATCCGCAATTAATTTTTTATAGCGCTCTACAGTATGGGACGTTTTTGAAATATCGATTTTTCATGACAAAAAATTTTAAATTTCAATTGTTTGTTTTGTAAAAATACGCGGCGCGGCCCTGACGCAGTGACTGAAATAGCAACGAATCCGACGCATAGAGCATAACAAGTTGGTTAGATCTTTGGCGTCAATGCAAATCCACATTGCATTTTTCAGACGTGACGTAATGGTAATATTTTGAAACATCATTTTTCTACGCTTCTAAAGAGGTTTATAGTTTTAACCACCTTTCCCCGGCAGCGTGCAAACTAAACGCTTGTAACTTTTAACTAGCGGCATAATTATAATTTCTAATTACAATTTTATCGCAGAGAAAAACAGTGGCGCGTTTCCAAAAGAATAATAGGTGCTAAAAATTTTGTATAATATGGACGACACCTAAAAAGCTCTTATTCACTGTTGCTCGCAACCGAAATGGTGCTCAAATTTTGAAACATTGATTTTTCACGGCAAAAGTTGGGGCTGCCGGTCGTAAAAGGGTTCTCTATCTCATTTTCTCTCGCTCTCTTTCGGCCTCTCTCTCACTATCTCTCTCGTTCCCTCTCTTTCGCTCTCACGCTTTCTCTTTCTCTTTCTCTTTCTCTCTTTCTCTCTCTCTCTCTCTCCCTCTCTCTCTCTCTCTCTCTCTCTCTCTCTCTCTCTCTCTCTGTCTCTCTCTCTTTCTCTCTCTCTCTCTCTCACTCTCTCTCTCTATCTCTCTCTCTCTTTCTCTCTCTCTCCGCGTTCCATATTGCGTATTAGATGTATTTCAAAAGAAGGAACCACAGCAATTTAAATTTTTAGTACTATCCGGATGCCGTTAAATTTTTGAGACATCGTTTTTCTACGCTTCGTAAGAGGTTTATACTTTTAACTACCTTTTCCGGCAGCGTATAATACATTCGGTTGGAGACGATAAAGTCGAAAATCGAGCTCGTCAAACACAGGCCGGCGATGGCGAGGAACTAAAAAATCACATTAGTTTTTTAGGTTCCTGGTGACCCTAAAGGGCCGGACAAGGCACGCAATAGAGATTTTCCGGCATTTCCTGTCTTATAAATCCTGCCTTGTTTATCCCTTTAAAACCACGAATTCAATCCTCACCATTAAAATGAAATGGACGATGCGGAGGACGAAAACGGAGTCCATTTCCGGATTTGGTTTGGCTTAGCACCTGAATTAGGATGGTTTTACGAAAAGGGAAATCGGGAGAGAGAGAGAGAGAGAGAGAGGGCGAGAGAGAGCCAGAGAGAGTAAGAGCGCGAGAGAGAGAGAGCGCGAGAGTGAGAGAGAGAGAAAGTGAGAGAGACAGACAGAGAGAGAGACAGTGAGAGAGACAGTGAGAGAGACAGTGACAGTGAGCGAGATATAACAAGAAAATCCAGGCTCTTAGGGGTATTAGAGCAGGTGGCATCTGCTCCCGGCCGGACCGTATCCATGGTAATGAGCGCTGTCCGGAGGCCTCCTTCCGGTCGGGCGTCTATTTTTAAAGGGGCCGGCAAATGAAAACGTATACCAAGCGCATTTTTATTCACAATGGACAAGCTGGCAATTGCCATCAAAAACTTGAGTTTCAAACCCAACCAGATTTATAACATATTTTTTTAACTCAATTTGTGTATCCTCTGTATGCTCGTTTTTTCATGGCTATCGGGCCATTAAAAAGTATGCCAAATGGGTTTAAAAATACCGAAAAGAAGCTCCAAAAATTTGGATACTACGCGGTTGTTACCAAAAATTATCTAAAAAGTTGATTTCTAAGGGTGTAAAAATTTCCTCAAATCCATCGGCCCTTCAAATAAGATAAAACTTTTATTATAACCATTTTCACGGCTAAAAGCGTGCTAAGATTATTTAAAAAAATGCCTTAATTTTAAAACGAAACAATTCAAAATTAATCGGTTGCCGTTTAAAACAAATAAAAACAATTAAAGACAAAAAATAAGAATTTTAGTGCCGAAACGTTAGCATTACGGCAGGTAAAATCGCCAGATGAAAAGGTTGCGAATTATAAAACAGTTTTGAGTCGAAAAGTGCGAGGAAAATCCACTTTCTAAAATCAACAATTTAAGTAACATATTTTTTTAACCGACAACTTTTCGAAAATCATTCCCTCTCGATAATTCTCTTTTTGATAACGTTAAAACCAATTAAAAAAATATATGATAAATACGATTTAAAAATTGATCGGCAGCTTAAAATTCAGAAAATGGCAGTTTCAACAAAAATTCCTTGAAAGACTGATTTCCAAAGGCAAAACAGCGCATTAATAGGTTTTTTAAAGTGACTTTAAGCATTAAATTGAATCATAAATTTTATAAAACTGCCATTTTCATGGCATGCATGTGTGTGCAAATAATCGCCGGGCTTGTTGTCCCCCGATGCGCCCAAAAAAAAAAAAAATCGATATTTGCTCCAAAAACGGTTCCGCGAAAATGGCATGAGGGGAAAAAAATCGGTTTAATTCCTAAAGAAAAAATGTGAGAATTTAAGCACTAAAAAAAGAGGAACGGCGCTAGAAAGCAGCTGGCAGCAGAAGAAAAAATATTTTCCCGCCCTGAAAAATTTCTGTTTGATGAAACCGGGGAGAGGGGAAAAGCCGTGAAAAAAGAGGGGATAGGGACTGAACTTTGTTGTGTTCAGGTTCTCCGGAGAGCGTTCCTCAAGGAGTCTCTGCCAGCCTGCCCACGCTATGTCTTTCTGTCTCTCTCTCCCTTTCTATCTCTCACTCTCTCTCTTGATCTCTCTCAAACGCAAAAATGTTTCATTAAATGGTAAAGTTGCGGTCAAATTTTTCAATGTAATGCATCCTCGGGCGAACGGAAAAAATAATACACTCCTCTCTCTCGCTCTCTCCCACTCTATCTCTCTCGCTCTCTCTCTATCTCTCACTCTCTCTCGCACTCTCTGTCCCTCTTGCATTCCTCCAGAGTCTCTGCTAACCCCATTCTTAGGATTCGGCCCTCGATTTCACATTGAGCCTCGTTGAACATTCTAAAAAGCCCTGTATCGGCGAAACATTAAATTTTTATTGCATGTTTTTTGGGAAATTTTATCCTAGATAGCCAATTACTTGAATATAAATAGAGCAAGTGTTTTTAAACAATTTTTTACGATTCTGAAAAGAAAAAACTTTACAGGCTTTGATCAGGAACTACAAAAAAAATTGATTTTCGATCTGGAGAAGACAGTTCGATTAAGACGATCGGAACGCTCTGAAAACCGCCTAGAAACGAAACGTTGAATTTTTACAGCGTTCGTAATTGAGAAACTAAACCTTAAAAAAATTATTTAAAATAGACAAAAATCTTGCTTACGACGAAAAATAGCCGATTTTCGCGAAAATGTCACCCTGTTTCTAGATATGGGGGGGACGAGGAACTATTAGCACGATTTGAACGCTCTAAAATTCACCTAGAAACGCAACTTTAAATTTTTAAAGCGTAAAAATTGAAATAATTGAAAGAGGTTAGAGAAATCTATAAAACAATGATTGCATCCAAAGGGATTCTTTTTCATTATCGGGGGTGGGGGGGGGGGGGGTGGCGGAACCATTTCTAAGGACTCAGATTTTGTAATATAAATAGATGAATAGTTGCTAAGCCGGTCTTTAGGTTTTATAAACGTAAAAACTAAAAACTTTCCAAATTATAACAAATAAAATATCGATTTCCAAACCGAATTGGCCGAATTTGAACTAATTACCGGCTTTAAAAATATGAAGCCTTTAATTTTTATAGTGTAAAAATTGGAAGGTAAGAGAAATCTCCATAAGCCAAAGGTCAATCCAGAAGGGTGCTTCGTTATGGGGGGCACAGGGAGAGATTCGGTAGGTCCTTGGTAGGGGGCAGCCGGTAAATAAATAGGTAGAGGTGAAAGGGTGGGTGTTTGGTACTCTCTCTCTCTCTCTCTCTCGCTCTCTAGCCCCAGGGCACACCAATGCCAAATATTTGTGCCCCCGGAGGGTACGGGCCTCTACTGTGGTACCCAGTGGTACCACTGGGACTCTAGGAATTGGCTAGATGAAAGCCGGAAGGCAGGCTAGCAGAGATCATTTGAGAAAATTAATACCAGAAAAACCAAAAGATATTCCTGTCAATAGTGCTGACCCGTAGCCATGGGGGGGCGTAGCGGGGTTAATTGCTAGACCGGCTGGGCTTTCTAGAGGATAATCCGCAGAAATATACCCGAGAGAGAGAGAGAGAGAGAGAGAGAGAGAGAGCAGAGACAGAGCGCGCGAGAGAGAGAGAGGAGAGAGAGAGAGAGAGAGAGAGAGAAAGAGAGAACGAGCGATAAACCTCCAAAACCATCCTCGCGCAATTTGAATAGATTTTAGTTTTCAATTTCCGTAATTTCTTGAATCTGGTCGAAGTTTTGTATTCAAGTTGATTTTTTTGTATCCAAACTCTCCCAAATGAATCGGCAGCTCTTCTTTTTGCTGATTTTTGCCATCTTCGGCTTTGTCGTTAGCAATGTACGACTTGGCTTGCTGTAACTTCAGTATTATCTTCCCTTTTTTCAGGCCATCACCTGTGACATCACCTCCAAACCCTGGCACCCCGACCACGGCGGATGCATCGAGGTTAAGCGTGAGATAGACATCGGAGACTCGGGCATCGCCTTCCACGAGAACGTCACTAACAAGGATGGCGGGTGGACATACGTCACCTACGGTCAGTTAGAGCCCGTGCTCAGCCACTCACAAATTTCAGCCTGCCGTGAATCGCCGATGCCGGATGCGGTGATCTTTTGCGGTGGGCCACCGGCGCCGCCGAGGCGAGCCATCCCGAAGACGCCCGGCTGCTGGTCGAGGACGTTGAGGGATGACCCTCAGCATTCCGCTGTATGCGGTGAGCGAGGCATAAGCTTAAGCTTAAGCCTAAGCCTAAGCCTAAGCCTAAGCCTAAACCTAAGCCTAAGCCTAAGCACCTAAGCACCTAAGCCTAAGGCTAAGCCTAAGCCTAAGCCTAAGCCTAAGCCTAAGCCTAAGCCTAAGCCTAAGCCTAAGCCTAAGCCTAAGTCTAAGCCTAAGCCTAAGCCTAAGCCTAAGCTTAAGCCTAAGCCTAAACCCTTTCAGACGTCGTGATGAAGGGGGTCCGGGAGGTACTAAAAACGCCGATGAGCCCCAGCCTGAAGATGTTGTTGGAGTATTACGACAAGGAGGTAATGGTGCTAAAGGTATTCGTGATACTTTTTTAAGGAAACTCTGCCCCTGGGCTATCGTCGTGTCTTCAACAGGCCCGCAGATTTTGATCATCCGGTAGGCTTAGGCTTGGCTTAGGCTTGGCTTAGGCTTGGCTTACCTTCTCTTCTTCTAGGAGCTCTGGACGACGACCACGACCACTACAACTCCAAGCACGACTAGCTCCAAGTTCACCTACCCGCCCGACGATCCGGACCCCGTTTATCCGGGCATTCCTGACGATGAGCATGAAGAAAAGGATGGTGTGGATATGTGGGTTAAGCCGACTTAAGCTTAGCCCAAGCCAAGCCTAAGCCTAAGATCAACCTCACTTCTTCCAGGAGCCTCGTCGGAACTCTGCTGGCCGTCTGCCTCAGCTTGTTGCTGTGCTGTTGCATGATCTTCTGCATCTGCAAGTGCTGCTGGGTTCGGGGGCGTCGTGAAGGTATGTTTAAGCCTAAGCCTAAGCCTAAGCCTAAGCCAAGCCTAAGCCTAAGCCTAAGCCAAGCCTAAGCCAAGCCTAAGCCTAAGCCTAAGCCTTAGCCTTAACCAAGCCTAAGCCTAGGCCTAAGCCAAGCCTAAGCCCAGCCTAAGCCCAACCTAAGCCAAGCCTAAGCCTAAGCCTAAGCCTAAGCCAAGCCTAAGCCAAGCCTAAGCCTAAGCCTAAGCCTTAGCCTTAACCAAGCCTAAGCCTAGGCCTAAGCCAAGCCTAAGCCCAGCCTAAGCCCAACCTAAGCCAAGCCTAAGCCTAAGCCTAAGCCTAAGCCTAAGCCTTAGCCTTAACCAAGCCTAAGCCAAGCCTAAGCCAAGCCTAAGCCAAGCCTGGGCCAAGCCTAAGCCAAGCCTAAGCCAAGCCTAAGCCAAGCCTAAGCCAAGCCTAAGCCAAGCCTAAGCCAAGCCTAAGCCAAGCCTAAGCCAAGCCTAAGCCAAGCCTAAGCCAAGCCCTAATGAGCCTAAGCCCAAGCCTAAGCCAAGCCTAAGCCAAGCCTAAGCCAAGCCTAAGCCAAGCCTAAGCCAGGCCTAAGCCAGGCCTAAGCCAAGCCTAAGCCAAGCCCTAAGCCAAGCCTAAGCCCAAGCCTAAGTAAGCCTAAGCCAAGCCTAAGCCAAGCCTAAGCCAAGCCTAAGCCAAGCCTAAGCCAAGCCTAAGCCAAGCCTAAGCCAAGCCTAAGCCAAGCCTAAGCCAAGCCTAAGCCAAGCCTAAGCCAAGCCTAAGCCAAGCCTAAGCCAGGCCCGAAATTCCGATACTTTCCAGAAGGCGACGACGGCCCGCAGACGTGGCGTCCTCAGGGCCCGAGCGGTATCTCGAGTTACCCAAGACAGCAGCAGCCCCAGATGACGTATCCGATGCCCAACCCAAACGGTGAGGGATCTGATGAAGTGAACGTCAGCGGGCGTACCTAAAAGTACGATACGATACGATACGATACGCTACGCTACGCTACGCTACGCTACGCTACGCTACGACATACCGTACGATATTCGATTTGTTCTATTTGTGATGATGTTCACATTGCATTGTCCCCACTATGTCCCCCTCTAGTTTGACAAGGTGGAATAAATGACTTTTCCAGAATATTACCTCTAGTGTTCCCACCATTACAAAAGACGGATGCTCCAGAGTCCCGTGACCTGACGAAACACGTGATTTTGCTAGGGTACGGTACTTGCTGGATTACGCTACTTTCCGGGTTACGGTCTCTGAGCCTTCAAAAGAAAGTGGCGTACCGTCTAAAACTTGGCTACGCGTCCGAATACAGTACCCACTTTCCAGTTTACGGTACCCGGTCCTTCGTAGTAAGGCTAGAATTACGTTCGAAAAGACTGTACCATCCGGCATACGTTAATTTGGGGTACTGTACTGTTCGGGAGTACGCTACTTTCCGAGTTACGGTCTCTCATTCAGCAAAAAAAGTCATGTTCCGTTTAAAATCGAACCACTATCCGTATACGGTACTTTCTCGTTTACAGTGTTCTCAGGTCAACACGGATTACGGTAATTTTCCGAAACATGTTGATTGCGGGAAAGATGAATTGCAGATTTTCGAGAAATTCCGCTACTTTCCGGCTTGCGGTGTATCCGGTATGATCCGGAATACGGTAATTTTCAGAGTACGGTACTTGCTTGCGCGGAAATTTAAAATTTAGCATTTTCACAAAATTAGCATACCAAAATTCACGCACATCTGAAAAAGCCAAAATCCTGCCCCCCATTTTTCTACGTTCTCTTACAAGGTGGGTGGCTGGTTTTTAACAGGTTTTCGGGCTAGAGATGTTAATTTATAAAATATTGAAATTCCTGGTTTTTGGAAATTTTTCAAAAATAAACGTGTTTCATCAAGTCCCCCAATTAGTCAATTTTTGGCCATTGTAATATAGCGCATTTCGCTGTATAATAAAGGAATAATCTTTCAGATTTTTTAGTAGGCGTTTAAGGAAAAATGAAAATTATTATTTTTCATATTATTTTTTTTTATATTTCAGAAATAAATTCTTGGTACTTGTTCGTACTTACATCGTTGGTATTCGAAACTTGCGCAATCGGCCCCCACCGGAAGACGGATCGATAAAAGCAGAAGAAGATGGACTGGGTGAAGGGGCTGCTCGGCATCAGAACCCTCAAAAAGGTATGGATTTTGGGTTGCCGATACCTTTAAAATGGCAGGCTAGCATGGATTCTTGAGGAAAAATTGATGGCAGCTAGCAGCGACCATTTTTGTTATTTCCAGGGCACCAAAATCTGGTCGGCCACCACACCGTACGTCATCGAGAAGCTGCTCGGCGAGGGCGGTTTCGGAGCGGTTTACAAGGTTTGTAGTTTGTAGCTTCGAGAGTGTCTTTGGGAGTTTGTAGTTCGAATAAATTTTATAGTGTCTGGTTTGTAGTTTATGGTATAAAAAATTCTGTTCTTTTTTTTTTTTTTTTTTTTTTTTCTTTTTTTTTTTTTTTTTGTTTTTTTTTTTTTTTTTTTTTTTTTTTTTCTTTTTTTTTTTTTTTTTTTTTTTTTTTTTTTTTTTGTTTCTTTTTTTTCCCCCCGTCTTTTCCCAGGTTCACGTCGCCGGCGACCCGTCCCTCACTTACGCCATGAAAATCGAGCAGCGCCGCCGGCCGGGAAAGGAGCTCAAGCTGAAGATGGAGGTACGGGTAATTTGTAGTTTGTACTCTGTAGCAGCCTTATAGTTTGTAGTCTGTATAATTAACGATTTTCAGCTAAAAATCCTCCTTGCCGCCGGCGATAGCGACCGTCGCTGCCTCCACTTTACAAAACTCATCGACCGGGGCAGTCGACCGGAATTCGTCTTCATGGTAGTCTATCGTTCTCTGTCACTCTCTCTCTCGCTCTCTCTCTTTCCCTTTCTCTCGTTCTCCCTCTCTCTCGCTCTCTCTCTGTCACTCTCTCTCTCGCTCTCTCTCTTTCCCTTTCTCTCGTTCTCCCTCTCTCTCGCTCTCTCTCTCTCGCTTTCTCTCTTTCTCTCTCTCTCTCTCTCTCTCTGTCTCTCTCGCTCTCTCTTTCCCTTTCTCTCGTTCTCCCTCTCTCCCGCTCGCTTTCTCTCTCTTTCTCTATCTCCACTAGCCGGCCTCTCTCCAGGTAATGGAACTCGTGGGCAAGTCGGTGAAGGACGTGCAGCGTGAGCGTCGCGGCAAGGTGTTCACCATCTCCACGGCCTGCCAAGTCGCCGAGCAGACGCTTGAAGCCCTCGAAGATATGCATGCACTCGGATATATCCATCGGTAGGGAGGGGCAGGCTAGCGGAGACCCTTTCCGTTTTTCCAGCGACATCAAGCCGTCCAACCTAACCATCGGCGTCGGCGCCAAGCGCAACATTGTCTACCTGCTCGACTTTGGCATCTCGAGAAAGATTCGGAATGACGATGGAGAGATAAAGGTGGTGTCACGGTCCCTTTAAAGTTACCGTACCCATGCCAGTTGCCCCGCTGGAAGTGCACGTTTAAAGGGACGGTGAAGTACGCGTCGCTGGCGTGCCACACGCTGCGCGAGCAGAGCGGCAAGGACGACCTGGAGTGCTGGGTGTATCTGTTTGCCGAATTTGTGCATCCTGGAGGTTGGACCTCATGCTCATTTTCAAGAAACTGTTGCTCAGGACTCCCGTGGCGCAACATGGACAACACGAAGGAGGTGTACCGCGAGAAGCGCAAGGCCCACGAACGCCCTCGCGACCTGTTCACCGGATTTTCCAGGCCTGAGGTAGGGGTTTTCCGAGCTGTCTCAATTCCTTTAGTACATGGTGGCCGTGCTGGAGTACATCGACGAGTTGAGCTACGTGCAGCAGATTGACTACGGATACTTGCGCCAGGCTGTTGAACTGGTAGCGCTTGAAATTCTGCAAAGAATCCCTGCTAGCCTGCCCCCTCCCCCTCTCTCATCCCAAATGATTTCTGCTAGCCTGCCCCCTCCCCCTCTCTCTCATCCCAAATGATCTCTGCTAGCCTGCCCCCTCCCCCTCTCTCTCATCCCAAATGATCTCTGCTAGCCTGCCACCCCGATTTCCAGACCTGTCGCTTCAACGACGGCTCAATGTCTGCCCCTCTCGACTGGGTGCAGCGTCACTCTCCGGTCACGCCCGAGGAGTCGCGCTTGGTATGGGATTTTTTTTGGCTTCAACCCTCCTTTAAATTTAATTTTTCCTGACTGCACTGTATTTTTAAAACGTGCCATTTTACGAGCACGTCGGCGTGGACGTGAAAATTCGTTTTTCGTTTCTTCGTTTTCGGAAATTCGTCGTCTTGAATGCTACTTTGCGAACCCGTTTTTTGGTTGCTGAACCCGCGAGAAATTCTCGGGGTTTGTTTGCCTTTCACGGCCCCTTTAAAAGTAGAATTTTTGACTTGAATGGTCCTTTAATGACGCTTGAATGTCCTTAATCGTTTCCAGTCGGTGCGCCAGGACGCGACCAGCTCGCGGTACTGCGATGGCTATCGGCCAAAGGTAATTTCCGATTTTTTTCGAGAGAAAATCAGGTCTGCGTTGATTTTTTTGAATCTATGCTTAGAAAATAATGTAGGTGAACTTAATTTCCATTTTCCCATCTGAAGATTTGCGGTTTCAAAAATTGGAAAAAATTGGAATTGAAAATAGTGGAAAAATGTTTCATTTCATGGTAAAGTTGAGGTGAAATTTCTCCGGCTAATCAGCCGCACTTCTTGCTTGGAACCAACTCAAAATTAAATTGCGTGAAATCAACTATTGATTAAAATTAAACAAATTAAATGAACGAAAAAATTGCGCTTAGAAACAAAAATGTTTCATTCAATCTGAAAGTTGCCGCAAAAACGTTTGCGCATTAGTGCACCGTCGGGTTAAGGATTTGTAGTATTTTTAATTTAAGTAATTAGAGTGGTCGAAAAATAAATGCCAATTTAATTGCGTGGAATCGACTTTTAGCTCAAAAAACATTAATTGAATTAATCGCGAAAATCCTTCATGAAAAAAATATGATTCATTTAATGGTAAAGTTGCGGTAGGATTTTTCAAATTAGTGCGCCTTCGGTAGTGCTAGGACAATTATAATACACTTTAGATATCGTTTTTATTAATTAAAAAGAATAAGGTAATTATAACGTAATGTAAATTTAAGTTTTTTAAGTGTTTTCATGCCAGCTTGCCTAAAAAAAATTGAAAAATTCAACTTTTTTTTTGCTGTCCTGCATTAAAATTTTTCCAGTCCACCATCCGCTCGCTCGGGATCGGGCTCAATCCGAAGAGGAGCAGGTATCTCACTCTATCTCTCTCGCTCCCTCTCTCATCCTCCTCTCTGGCTCTCGCTCTGTCTCTCTCTCACTCTCTCTATCTCTCTCGTGCTCTCTCACCCTCTCCCTCTCTCACTCTCTCTCTCCCTCTCTCCCTCCCTCCCTCTCTCTCTGTCTCTCTCACTCTCCCTCTCCCTCTCTCTCGTGCTCTCTCTCACTCTCTCTCCCTCTCTCTCCAGAAAAACGACTCGTTTAGTCAAGACCGCTCATCGGAGGAGGAGCGCCACTCTTCTGCGGTTGCTGTGTCGGCAGCGGGAGGCGTCGTCGCGACGCGGACCACGGCGCAGGGGAGCAGCCGCGTCGCGGGTCCTCCGAGCAGCAGCGGCGGATCATCGGGCCGTCAACACCAGCAGGGACAGCCGCAGCAGCAGCCACAGCGCCCGCCGAGGAGGAGGAGCAGCAGCAGCCGGGGAATGACTCGATCCTCCACCATCCACGCCATTAGCCGGGTACGCTTCTCCTCAAGAATCTCTGCTAGCTTGCCTCTGGAAATCAGCGACGTCTTTGAAAGGGAGCGGGACATCATTTTCTCCGCAACAATCTCTGCTAGCTTGCCTTTGAAAATCGTTAGAAACATTTTAAAGGGGGCGTGACACCTAGAGGAAGACGCTTCTCCCCAAAAATCTCTGCTAGCTTGCCTAGTTGCACTTTTCTCAGTTTTAAAGGCGCAGTGACACCTAAGGAAAGTCAGGTTTTCCTCAAGGAACTCTGCTAGCTCGCCCTAAAAATTCTAAAAAAATTATTTGTTGCATTTCCAGGACCGCCACGGCTGCACGCGCAAGCTCGTCGACTCGGATTGAAGAAATAAGCCCTCCTTTTCTCTCACTGTCTCTCTTTTCTCTCGTTTTCTCTCGCGCTCTCTCGCTCGCTCCTTGTCTCTCTTTATCACTCGCTTTTTATGTACCAGTCGCGTGGTTTTTTGAATAAATCTTTTTTTAAATAATTTATTATAACGACATGGGGAAAGGTTATAACAGGTTATTATAACAAATTCCGAATTTACGAAAAATAAAGGATATTTTTAGGGGTTTTCTTGGCGAGTTAGAATAAATTAAAGATAAAAAAATTAAGAAGTCCAAAATTTTCCAGTGGCATGAAGAAGTTGAATCATCCTTTTTGTTGGGCCTGATCGTAATGGGAATCTGTGAAATGAGAAGGTAAAAAAATCGGCGTTTCAAAAATCTTAATAAACGGCTGCTTCTCGGGCAAAGTATTCCGCTTCACTTGTCGAATCTCAATAAATATTTTACCCCAAAAATGTCAATTATTTTGTTAATAGAAAGAAAGATGATTAGAGAGAAAAAAATGTAAAATTTTTGGAGGCTAAAGATGGTGTTGGGGCAGGGGTACTCAGTGAAGTGGTGTGAGAATCGGACGGTAGATATAGACACGGGTCTGTACCCGACACTCCAACTCCCTATCAAACCGTGCACAATACTGAGGGCGGAGCCGGCTGCGGTTTGGACGTACGCCCGGAATACGGAACGCTACGTAAGTGTTCGGTGGGAGTGTTTCGGAGTGGTGTCAATCTTGGCTTGTCGATTTCGCTACCAAAAAATGGATTAAGAGCCCTGTGTGCACCGATCAAGACAACGGCAGAGTAAAACAAACAGCATGTATTTGTCTGCATTATGTATTTTCGAATTTACCTAAAAGTTTCCGTTTTTTAGAACCTTCCCTTTCGTTTAGCTACTTACAGCTAGCTAGCAGAGTTTGTTGTCGAGATTTAATTTTTTTTTAGAAAATGTAGGTTTCAATTATTTGTGTTGATAGCTCAGTTTAACAAAAATCATTGGACCGGCTGTAGCAACTAGAAAATGCTTTGCCACTTCATGCATTATGTATTTCCAAATTTACCTAATTTTTTCGGTTTAAGTGCCTTATTATACATGCAGCTAACGCTAAAGCTAGCTCAGGCAAGGGCTGGCTAGCAGAGATTTTTTGTGGAATTTGATATTTTATGGAAGCAGTTATGTTTCATTTTATTGATAAACCAACTTTTCAATAAATTATTCAATGCCTTGCTTCTTACAAATTCCTCGAATTTATCTCAATTTGGCAGTTTTTTTTGATGGCAACTGGTGTTTTTCCAGTCTAAATATTCAAAAAACAAAAGAAAAAGAAAGAGAGTCGAAATTTGGCCGGTTTCTAAATTTAGCGAGCGTGCTGGCTGCTTTATCGATTATCGAATTTAAATAAATGTTGCTGTTTTTAAAGATCTTTTCCTCCTTCCTCCGTTTAGATATTTTAACCGGCCGACGGCTAGCTAGCAGAGGTTGTTTGTGGAATTTTGTACATCTTTGGAAGAAGTCTGTTTCAACGATTTCCATTGTCAAAACTGTTTAAAAAAATTGATTAGCTTTTTTGTGTCGTCATTTCAAAATCGTTTGCTGCTTGATGCATTGGGTATTTTCAAATTTGCCCGGATTATTCGATTTTTAACAACTTTCCCTTTCGCTTAGACATAGCTAGCAGCGTTTGTTTTGGAATTTTAAAATTTCTTAGAAAAAAAGTGGGTTTCGATGTTTTCCATGGCCAAAAATGTTAAAAATTCATTAATCGTTGTTGACATCGAAATCGTCTGTTACGATGCATTATGTATTTTCGAATTTGCCCGAAGGATTTGATTTTTTAGATCCTGCCCTTTCGTTTAGTTATAGCTAGCAGCGTTTGTTGTAGAATGTTAACTTTCAGAAAAGTATGTTTCATTTATTTATATTGACAGCTCAGTTCAAAAAAATTCATTGGTCCTGCGTAGCGACTGGAAAATCGTTTGCTGCGTTATGCTTTATATCTTACCTAAAAATATCTCAGTTTTTGAGAATCTTATTCTTCGTTTTTAAACATAAAGCTAGCGGCCGAGGTTATTGTGGGATTTCAAGTTTTTAGGAAAAGTGGGTTTCAATTATTCACATTGTCGGCTCGGTTTTTGAAGAATTAATATGGTCACCTGGCTTACTTCATCTAGTCTCACCATCATCCCATTTGGCAGTTTACAAAAATAGCTTTTTTTGTGAAGATTTATCATTCGCAGAATTTTAAAGGTTTTGAATTTTTATAGGTGTATTTTTCAATTATTTCCATTGACAGCCGGGTTTTTGTAAAATTATTGAGTTGTAGATACACAGGGCGAGCTAGCAAGGATTGTTAGTGGAATCCTTTACTTTTTTTAGAAAAAGTCGGTTTCAATTATTCGCATTGTCAGCTCGGTTTTTCAAAAACTAGTGTGATTCACTTTCACGTTTTTTCATGATCATCAATTTCCCAATTTATAAAAACAGCTTTTTTTGTGAAGTTTTATCATTCGCAGAATTTTAAGAGATTTTGAATTTTAATAGTTGTATTTTCCAATTATTTCCATTGACAGCCGGGTTTTTAGACACGCAGAGCGAGCTAGCAGAGATTGTTTGTGGAATCCTTTACTTTTTTTAGAAAAAGTCTGTTTCAATTATTCGCATTGTCAGCTTGGTTTTTGAAAAATTAGTATAGATCAATTTCGCGTTCTTTTCATCATCAATTTTGCAATTTATAAAAACCGTTTTTTCTTTCAGATTTTTCACGGTCGAATTTTAGAGGCTTGGACTTTTAACAGGTGTATTTTTCAATTATTTCCATGATCAGCTCGGTTTTTGTGAAATTATTGAGTTGAACATATCCAGGGCTAGCTAGCAGAGATTTTTTGTGGAATTTTGGATTTTTTTAGAAAAAGTAGGTTTCAATTATTCGCATTGTAAGCTCGGGCTTTGAACAATTAATAAATAACAATTTTTACTTTGTTAATTAATTTAATAATTTAGGGGTATGGGGGTATTTTGCATTGGCAGAGTTATTCAGAATTTTTAATTTTTAAGATGAATATGTTTCAGTTATTTCCATTATCAGTTCCGTTTTTTAAAATTATTAAAACATCAAATATCTGGTTATAAATTAAAAATCCAGGGTGTTTGATGTCCCAATTTCCATAAATCCCTTGACCTTTATGCAGTGTTTTTTGGGGGGACAAAAAGCCAATATATTCCTAGCGCCGAGCCCCCCCTCTGCGCAAGATAATTACCCTCGGGACCGATGACCTCGTTGTGTGTGGCCACTTTTCCATTTCAAGCCATCTTATCCGGAATCTTCTAGGGGATTCTCTCGTTCTCTCTCTCTCTCTCTTTCTCTCTCTCTCTCTCTCTCTCTCACTCTCTCGCGCTCTCTCTCTCTCTCTCTCTCTCTCTCTCTGTCTCTCTCACTCTCTCTCTCTCTCTCTCTCTCTCTCGCTCTCATTCTCACTCAGTTTCACCCACCTGGCTGGACCAAATTTGCACCAAATCAGTTTTCAAGGTTTCATCAAAGAGGCCTATTCCATTGCCAAATATTTTCCGAAATTTCCGCAAAGAATCTCTGCTAGCCTGCTCAGCCTGATCGGTTTTTTAAATATAATTCACTCATTGCTTGACTCAAGCAATCCAGAATTCAGTCTTGCGGACATCTCTACATTCCAGAATTGCTTTTTCTCTTGCTCCTTCACATTTTTGAAACATACTATTTTAGTTCCTGTTTTTAAATAAGCGGGTATTGTGATTTTATGCTCGATATATTAGAATCATGACTTCCCTATATTCCGCAAAGAATTTCTGCTGGCCTGCCCGGTGCGGTTGTAAGGGTGGTTCGTATCAACGAAGTATCCTCCAGAAAAGCTTCCCTCACAGGCTTCAAATCTTTGCAACATATTCCTTTAAGCTCCTAAAAACTCGCCAGGTTTTTCAGGGTTTTCAACGCAACGCAACGAATTTTGAGGGTTTCATCAATGTGGCCTATTCCATTTCGCCAAAGAATCTCTGCTAGCTTGCCAAAAAAGGTCGATTATGAGATTAAATTCACTCATTACCTGGCTCATACAACACCTCTATACATTATTTCACATTATATACATTCCAGAATTGATTTCTATTTTGTTGCTTCACCTTTTTGTAACATATTATTTTGGGTTTCCTTTTTTAAAAATTTGCGTGTAGTTTGATTTTACGCTCGATATATTAGAATAATAGCTTCATTATATTCCGCAAAGAATTTCTGCTATGAAAGAATTTTTTAAATCAACAAAACTAAATGACGTGGCTGGAGATGAAACGACGAGGAATTCCGTAACCAATTTTCGTGAGGGGGCTTCAGACATTTGAAACATATTAATTAAATGAATTAGAAAGTGATACCGACTAATTTTGGCCGTTTCTGCATGCGATAAAAATGCAGTCTTTCCAATATCTCCGCAAAAATCTGTGCTACCCAGCGCGACATTAAATTTTATTAGCACCGAGGGTTGTATAGTACAAGATTGTATAGAAACTTTTCCACAAAAAACTAAATATTTTTGAAACATTTTAAATTTGAATTTTGGCATTTTGGACTTGGGTAAACCATTACGGAATGGAAAGATTAGGATTTGGGGCCAAGGAATGGGAAAATTGGAAGATAGAAAATCCATAAAGAATTCCGACCCATAAAATCTTTAGCTTTGCCTTGCATGGCCCTTTTAAATGGTTCTGGAGGTCAGCTCGTCCCTCAAAATCATTAGTTGCAATGGTTATTTCTTATAGGCAAAGGCGGCGCATAACGAGGAAATATTCTTTAGAAAAGCTTTTTCCACAAGCGTCAGGTTTCTGTAACATGTTTCTTGTAATTCTGAAAAGCTAACGAATGGGCCAATAGCGCCCCAGGGGGTCCGCAAAGAATCTCTGCTAGCCTGCTCAGCCTGATCGATTCTTTAAATATAACTCACTCATTACTTGGCTCAAGCAATAGACGCCCCACATCAAACCGAATTTATTTTCATCTCGCTTCTTGACGTTTTTGTAACATATTATTTTAGTTTTACTTTTTTCAAAAATTAACGAGTTGTTTTATTCTAAGCTCGATAGATTGGAATAATGGCTTCCTTATATTCCGCAAAGAATTTCTGCTATGAAAGAATTTTTTAAATCAACGAAACTAAATGACGTGGCTGGAGAACAAACGACGAGGAATTCCGTAACCAATTTTCGTGAGGGGACTTCAGGCATTTGAAACATATCCATTTAGCGAGTTTTAATTGCGCGATGGATTAGAATCAGGACTCTTTTTTTCCGCAAAAATCTCTGCTCGCCTGCCCGACATCGAATTAATGGGAATTGATGGTTTTATTGTTCTCGCAGAAAAGGCGCTGCGAATTGCATACATACAAACTTTCGCCGAAATATACATACTTCTCGAGACGGGTACTTCTGCTAATTCCGCAGTAATTCCGCTACCTGAGACTTCAGTTTTTGCAACATATTAATTCGATTTCATAAAAAGCTTACCAATTATCGGCTACTTTCCCAAGTTTCCACAAAGAATCTCTGTTAGCCTATTCAACAAACCAAATGGTTTTTAAAAAATTTGGCTAATAAAAATGGCTTGGCACAAGTTGGAAAGGCCCGAGAATTCTGTGGTCATTTTCCCCACCGAGAGTTACACAACCCAAAACATTTTAATTTCACTGGTTTCGCAAACCAAACCGAAATTGTCATTTTTGATTTTTCGTGCCTTCTTAACTCAACAAATATCCCGATTTCCTCAAAAAATCACTGCTAACCTGCCCGGCTGGGAATTACTGGGAATTGATGGGCTTATGGTGCTAGAAGAATAAAGAGCAGGGTTGGTCATTTTCGGATCGGACTGGATCCCGGATCTGGATCTGGATCGGATTCAGATCCAGGGCGGATCCGATCCGATCCGGATCCAAGGAAATGGGTCATGGAACCGAGTTAAACGCTAATTCTAAGATGCAAAGATCATTTCTGCATCTGCACGATGTATTTTCGCGATTAACATGACCGAATTAGCATCAGAATCGAGAATATCTTTTCTTTTCTTCTTTTTTTCCTCGGATCCGCATCGGATCCGGACCGGATCGGATCCGGATCTGGATCTGGATCTGGATCCGGATCCAGTTCCGATCCGGATCCTTACCGATCCGGGTCCATCGGCGAACAACCCTGATAAGGAGCGGAATTGTATCAAAACTTTTCTGGCGAAACATAAATTTTTTTGAAACATTGCAATTTTTCGGACGACTTCTAGCTCTTGGGGAAAATCCATAGTTAATTTTAGGGAGTAAAATCGACAGTGCGGCCTTTCCAGTGCTTTTAAGCAGTAAAATAAATTTTACTTTTGCCTTTTTTGCATAATTTTTCATGTTTTACTGATCCAAAGCCGTCTCAAATTGTATTTACACTTTCTTCTTGACTAGTAACTAGTACCTTCGCTCCACAAGGCTTTAATTTTTTGCAACATAGTAATTAAACTCCCCGCGTTTTCAAATCCAGGTCAAAAAAATTTCGATTGAATTTCATTTAAAAGCGTAATTTTATATGTTTATTTTTATTGGTTTTAAAGAATAAATTTCATGGATAAAACTCTTTTTCCGGTAAATTTGCCGAAAAAATATGTGATTCTCTCCAGGAAGCCGTAATTTGAGTCCAGGGATTTACGCTTACCACACGACCGAATAATTCAATCATTTAATTATTTTGAAATCGAAATGAATATTTTTCAAAAAAATTGTATAAATAAATAAAAATTTAAAACGTTTAGTGACGATCCCATCTAAAAAATTAAAATAAATGGTACTGAATTAAAAAAAGTCAATCCCCGAATTTGGAGCGTGTGAATCTTCAATGGAGCGTATTGCGCTAAGACCGGGGTTGTTTGGTATTTAAATTTTTGAAACATATTAACTCAATTAATTCATCTTTGTTTCTTCTCGTTTCCAGTTTTTTCCGGCTGAATTAGCTGTCCACACCCCTTCAAAACCCGAGCCGCAATGGATTCAAATTTTTTTACTTTTTTAACATTTTTGATGAATTTCGCTTTCGAAAATTCGGACGGTTTCCGAGTCTTTGCGATGAATCAACCACTGGTATTCCTTTAAAAGGCGAGCCGCCTCGGTATCAGTTTATTAAAACATATTAATTTAACATGTGGCCAGGAATAAAAAAATAGCCCGATTATAACGGCGCCCTTTTTCTGTAGCGAGCTGCCCAAATTTGGTAAACCTAAAAATTCCAAGCTAAATTTTCATTAAAAAAATAACCCTTTAATTTAATGACTTCAAAAATACGAGTTTGTTACGAAAAAAGTCGATTTTTTTGCGTTAAAACTTTGATTGAAATTTAAAAAGGCGCAGATGCGCAGTTTTACAAGATGTTTAATTCACTTTAATAGCCGGACTAAAAATGGCAAAATCTCGATTTTTTTTTTCAGTCACGACGTTGACACCATTCCGCTAAAACCCCGGATGCTGGGTCTTCGAATTTTTGAAACATATTAATTTCGCATTTCGTGCGCAGAATTAATTTTTTTTTCGTTTCACGATCGTTACCAACGCTTTCAATTTTAAAAGGTAAGGATAATCTGCCCCGGATTAAGCCGCAAATTCCGGCCCGGAAAGGGCCTGGACAGTGTCGGGATGGGCAAATTATCGGATTAGCAAGACCACGAAAAACGACCACGAAAGGAAGTTACCACCGCGGGACAGAGCCTCAATGCTCATCGAATTTTTTCAAAAATGTCTCTTTTCATTGAAACATTTTTGCGCATTTATTTAACTTGTTTTCTCGTCAATTTTTCGAGCGAATTTGAAAAGCAATAATTATTTTGAAAACGAAATTGTTCGATGATTACAACAAACCAAATTTCTCCGAACACTCAAATCGCTGCAACATGTTTTCAAAAAGCTTGCGAATCATTGAAACTTTTGAAGAGATCCGCCTAACCCCCCTTTCTCTCTCTCTTTCCCTCTATCTCACTCTCCCTCTCTCTCTCTCTATCTCACTCTCCCTCTCTCTCTCTCTCTCTCTCTCTCTCTTTCTCTTTCTCTCTCGACCCGTAAAACGAAGCCTGGCAGAGATTCTTGCGGCAATCCATTGTTGAACTCGCAGAGTACATACATTCTATCCTTCCTCGCTTATTTCCCACCGCAAAAAGCCGAGAAGCCCCACTTTTTTGGGGGCGGTCGGGCCCCAAAAACAAAGGCCAGGGCCGCGATATATTGGTTGGCCCCAAGATTGGCCCCGGGGCCCATTCTTTCGGGGCAAATCAAGCAGAAATTAGTTGTCGTCTCTCTATATTCGCCTCGGGCCATAAGATTGGATATTCGCCTAATTCTGACGTCACTTTTTCTGTTTTCCTCAAAGAATCTCTGCTAGCCTGCCCCCTCCCCCTCTCTCTCATCCCAAATGATCTCTGCTAGCCTGCCCCCTCCCCCTCTCTCTCATCCCAAATGATCTCTGCTAGCCTGCCCCCTCCCCCTCTCTCTCATCCCAAATGATCTCTGCTAGCCTGCCCCCCCCCCCCTCTCTCTCATCCCAAATGATCTCTGCTAGCCTGCCCCCTCCCCCCTCTCTCATCCCAAATGATCTCTGCTAGCCTGCCCCCTCCCCCTCTCTCTCATCCCAAATGATCTCTGCTAGCCTGCCCCTCTCCTCGGTAAGCAACCATTACCCGGTTATCAAGGAATTGACGCCAACTTGACGCCAAGCCAACTAGCAGGACTTGTACTGCTCGAAAAGGCGCATTTTTCCATCTATTTGAAGTTTTTCAAATATAAAGCACTCTATTTTTATAAGCAAGAGAGAAAAATGGGGCCAAAAACAGAAAATTATCATCGTGGTTAAATAGCTAGATGTTATTTTTGGTTCACCCTCGGATGTTATAAAACACATTTTTTTAGTCTCAATTTCTCTGAATTTAATCTTTTTAAAAACCGCGATTTTATATCACTTCTTTCAGGGTTATTCTTCTGTTTTTGAATTTTATCCTGATTTTTAGCTATTTTTATGTATTTTTTTATTTAGCACACCTTAAGTATATAAATTCCACTTTAAACATTCCACACATCTGACACGACAAGTCCTGAACTTAATTTTTCGCTAACCCTCTTATTTTGTAAAACATACTTTTTGAACTGGCAAATTCTCAATTTACTAAATTTAATTTTTTAAATACGCAAATTATATACCTTTTTAGGGGCTCAAAACTACAGAAAACTATACATCTAAAAATGATATAAATGGGCGTCCTACTCCGCGCCCCATCTACCGTATCCCCAGCGCCACCCGTCGATGGGAATGTAACGTACTACCTGGAGTGGACGGGGTCGCAGTGGACCCGAGAGGAGCTTGTCCACTCTGTCAGGTGCGGCAGGCTAGCAGGGATTCTTTGAGGAATTTTCAGAAAAACAGTTTTTTGCTGCTTTGGCATTATCGGGGGGGGGGGGCTGCTTTGGCATTTTTCTGATAAAAATAGAGGCAGCGTTTTTAAACCGTTTCTACATTTTTTAACTTTAAAAACTTTACAAATTTTTGTAAAAACATACAAGGAAAAGAATGGTTTTTTACTTAAATTACAAAATTTTCGGCTTTTTTCGAAAGTTTTAAATAGTTTTTCGTCTTAAAAAATCGATTTTTCGTTAAAAATTTCAAACTAGAATTTATAAGAAACATCTAATTTCACATTGAAGACTTATAGAAAAAATTCACTACTCCCGCCCCCCCCCCAATAATGCAAAAGTACCCAATGTTTTCAGCATTGCCTACGTGGTCATCTCGATTCTGATGGTCTTTCTGTGGTCGGCGTATTTGTGCTATGATGGAAGGTAGGTTTTTTGAAAGGTTCTAGTTCATTAGCGGGGGGTCAAACCCCCCCCGCTAACAAACCAGAACCCAAAATTTAAAGGGGACGCGTTGATATTTTGGCAAAGAATCTCTGCTAGCTGATTTTTCTGCGAAAGTTTAGTTAAAACACGAAAACGACTATTTTTCCAGCATAGCAATCGGGCATTTAAATTGTCGAAACACATTTTTACAATTTGTTTCTACAGGTGCTCTTCAAAGCGTGTTCAAAAAAAACAAATGTTCACCTTTTTTTGGCGTTAGGCAAAGAAGTTCTTGTTCATATTGTAAAAATTAAAAAGTAAATTGTAAAAATCAGCGTTTTCTGGCCCGAATTGACGCGTAAATGGGAGCCCTCGTTCGCGCGGAGCATTTTTCGAGCTTTAAAGCGAGCGGGGAAAAAAATCTATATTTCCGCAACGAATTTCTGTTAGCTAAGTTTTCGGTGAAACTTTGGTAAGCACGGCAATGCAAAATATGTTTCCAGAGACGAGTTTGGGGATCCAAATTGTTGAAACAGTTTTCTAGATATCATAAATTCTCATTACAATTGGGCAGTTGAAAAACGATGATTTAACCTTTTCCGATGATCGGGAAGAAATTGAATTTCTTAATTTCTAGTCCTCCACGTCTGCCTAATCGTGAAAAGTTAAGCCAATATTCCGCAAAGAATCTCTGCTAGCGTTTTTCTGCGACATTTTAGTATACTTCCTAACTTTCCAGAATAGGAATCGGCTATTTAAAAGGTTAAAACACAGTTTTAATCTGATTCCGCACGCGCTCTTCACAACCAGTTCAAAAAACAGTCATTCAACGTTTTAGCGCTAGTCCGAGAAGTTCTTATTATTATTCGCGTAACGTTCTGCTTGTAAAAATCGGCGATTTTAGCCCAAATCGACGCGTAAATAGGAACCCTCGTTCACTTGCCGTGTTTTTCGAGCCTAAAAGGGTTGGGAGAATATCAACGTTTCCGCAAAGAATCTCTGCTATCTGATTTTTTGCAAAACTTCCGTAAGCACGGGCAATGTAAAATATTTTGCCAGAAATGTAATTGGGTAACCAAAATTGTTGAAACATTTTTTACAATCCCGAAAAATCTGTTGCAATCAGACACCAAAAAACAATGATTCAACCATTTTCTTTTATCGGGAAGAAACTCGATCTCTTGATGGGCTTACACCAGTTGTTCGATGCTTTGCCTAATCGTGAAAACGGCAGCTTTGACGCGTAAACAGGAGCCGTCGTTTGCGTGCCGTGTTTTTCAAGCTAAAAGGCATCGGAAAATATCAATATTTCCGCAAGAATCTCCGCTAACTAATTTTTTTGGAAACTTTGGGACAGAAAAACGTCAAACTATTTTTCCAGAAATGAAATTGGGTATCCAAATTGTTGAAACATTTCTTTACAGATCTCACAAATTCTTATTACAGCCAGCCAGTTGAAAAACAATGATTTAACTTTTTATTTTATCGGGAAAAAATGAATCTTTCAATTTCTTGGACTAACTTATCGATGCTTTGCCAAATTGTGAAGAATCGACAGTTTCCGATCCAAATTGACGCGTCAATAGGAGTTCTCGTTCCGGTTGAAAAGCGATGATTCAATTTTTTTGGCGCTTTTAGTGGAAACCGGATTTCTTAATTTTGTGTGCTTTTTGTTGTTTCAGCTAATCGTGAAAAATCGGCATTTTCTGGCCCAAATTGATGCGTAAATAGGTGTCCTCGTTCGCGTGACGGGTTTTTCAAGGTTTAAAGGAACCGGAAAACGTGAATATTTCCGCAAAGAATCTCTACAGGCTGATTTTTGCTCGATAATTTATCGTCGATAACTGCCATCTGCCCAGTATTTTTTTAGGCAAGAACCCGGGCATAAAAATTCATAAAACACCGTTTTTATCGTTTCACAAACTCGCTCCACACCAGTCAGCTAAAAAAAATAGTGATTCACGAATTTAGCATTATCAGAGGAGACTGGATCCCTTAATCGGTGGTGTGTGTATATCCTCTATTTTTTCAAATTTGTAGAATTCGGGTTTTCCGCTCGAAACTCATGCGTAAATAGGTGTCGACGTGCGCGTGACACGTTTTTTTAAGGTTTTAAGGACAGGCAAAGCGTTCAGATTGCCACAAAAAAATCCATGATTGATAAATGTTTTTATAGGAAATCGTCTGATTAAATTATTGCAACACCTTCTTTTACAGGCTTCCCCCAAATTCATAGTCCGCGTTCGCCCAACTTCCATTGCGTAATCGATTACGACCCGTTAATGAGCTGCCCAAGCGGGGCCGAAGCGTAGCGTGTAGCGAGTGCGGAAAACCTATAGGCAAAAATTCGTACTAAAAAATCATACTCTACACTCGTACACTAAAAAATCAATTCGAAACCGTTTAATTATTACCCTCCATGGCCTGGTCTTTGACGCCTACCTTCCTTGAAACATCAAAATTTTTGGAGTTGGCAAGAATTCACTAGATTGGTTGGGGCTCAAAAATCATTTTCTATTTTTTGGCAACATTCCTCAAATGCTCTCTGCTAGCCTCCCCCCCCCCCCCCCCTATAGAAAATGTTGAGAACCAGAAAAAAATCTGGATAAACGAAAAAATGTTTCATCGTTTTGGGATAGCAGAGACAACACGAGTCGCTAATGCTATTTCGGTCATCCGGTCACAAATCCTTGGCAGTCATTTACTACCGATTTTTCCGCACTACGACACGCAACGCGCACGCGTCGCAGTTCCACCGCGTGATAGGTTACGACCTATTTACCCCGTAATTACGCTGGATAAAATTCGGATCCGGAACGCTTGAAGCAATATCTCATGGGCTCCGTTTTTGACGCCCACTTTTCTTGAAACATCAAAATTTTTGGAGGTTTAATTGGATTGCTGAAACTTGGTTCGCTGAAGCTCAAAAATAATTTTCCATTTTTTGGCAACATTCCTCAAATGCTTTCCGCTAGCCTGCCGTCAGAGACAATGTTGAAAAGCTAGGAAAAAGTTTGAATTGACGAAAAATGTTTCGATGTTTTTGTACTAGCGGCCGCGACCCGACTCATTAATTTTTGATCATTAGCATTCCGATTATTAGCATTTCAATCTTTGCCAGTAATTATTAGCGGCCAAGATTGGCAGGAATATCGATATTCATAACATCCAATACGAGGATGCAATTATTGCTCTCACGTGCCGGTTTTTATTTTCCCTTTCTTGAAACATCAAAATTTTGGCGTTGTTGTGAAGTAAAAATTCAGTGGGTTAGTCTACTCCAAAGGCATTTTCTAATTTTAATTCCCTCAAATGCACTCTGCTAGCCTGCCCCTAGAGAAAATGTTGAGAACCAGAAAAAAATCTGAATTAACGAAAAATGTTTCGTTCTTTTTGTGCTAGCAGAGACCACTCAGCTCGCTAATCTCCGATCGTACCGGTCCCACAAACAATAATAAATCTGCGGTGCCGCGGCACAACCCATTACGCAATGGAAAGGTGCGCGTGCGGCCACAGCGGCCCGGCTCCCAAGAAAATGTCCGGTAGCTTTGGAAAGGAGGGAAGACCGCAACGCGTGCGATAGACGCGTCGCGCGATTGCGAAAGAAGGCCTGCGCAGCTAAAAACCGGCTGCTATTCCGAGCACCCGCACGCAACGCGCGAAAAACACGCACAGTACGCCCTTTCCCTTGAACCATCTGGACCGAACCCATGGGCGGTTGTGGCGCGTCGCGGCCTCCAAAAAATCCATTGTAAAATCGTCAAAATTTAGCGGAAATAGCAATACAAAATTTTTGCAAAAATATATTTCAACGATTAGCCCGATAAAACTGAAAATTTTCACATTATTTCGTCGCACATACTCAAAGGAGCTTGGCGATTTTGATGCCTGGCCAGCTAGCAGAGATTCTTTGCGGAAATAGAGAGGGCAAGCCAGCAGAGGTTGCTTGAGAAAAAATTCGGAATTTTCCAGAAAAGCCGCCCGAAAGAACACGCACGTCATCCACATGCTCGTCGAACGGACCCGAGCTATGCTGAATTTTGTGTGAAAATAAAGATGTTTTATGTAAAGTAAATATTCTTAAGCGATTTACTGGATATAATTTATTCAAATCGATGGAACATTTAGTTACAGCAGCTTTTTGGGTGCTTGTGCATTAACGGGGGGTGGGGTTTCTATACGCCCAGAAATGCCTTTAATGTCCCATTAGTTTATTTTATAATGTTTTAGTAGCATTTAACTATATTGCTAGCAGAAAAATCATCCAAGAAATGGCAAAACTTTATAAAAATTCGAATTTTTTTGTCGAAAATCGGCTCTTTATAGAAAGGAATCGGTATTTATTTATTTTTAATCGAATTTTGTAAACTTTTTTTACGTGAGAACTAGTAGAAAAACATTTCTCATTTATATGCAACCCCCCGATAACGCACAAGCTCCGAAAATCCAAGTCTTGCAATCCATTTACCGATAGCACATCTTCCCTGTAATCACAACACGCGTGTCCAAAAACAACGAAATAGAGAAATGGACAAGCCGAAATCATAGCGACAGATGGATATGGAATATTAGAAAAAAGAGAGAGATTAGGGCTGAACTTGTTGAAGACGTGGGGCTAGACTGTGGCGCTGCTCCTGGCCGACTTGGTCATGTCGGCGGGTTGTTTCGGAGGATTTTGAGGGTGTGCATCTTCGGGCGTCGTCACCTCCAGCCAGGTCACACGCGGCGGGGCCTCGTATTTTTCTGCAAAAAAAGTAAAAGTAGTGGTACTTTACTCTTTGCGGGGGGCAAAATTTATTCCCGCAATAGCGTACGGCCCTACAAAAAATCTATGCCATTTTTTAAAGTATTTTACGCAATTTTTATATATAAAAAGCCAAAACCTAACAATTAGCAAATGTTTGAAGAATGCAAGAAAAATTGCCTAAACATAAAAATCGTTCATTTTGGAAAAATCTAATTATCTTTCTTGGAAACAAAAATATGAAAAACACCATAAAAAATACATAAAATAAGTGTTTCAAACGTAACAAAAAGGTCGGCCCCCCCCGCTAACAGATCAGAACCGAAAACCCACTGCACTTGAAGTAGATGGTGAGGAAGAGCAACGCGACCATGCACAAGATGCCGGAATTGATGTGCATCAACTCTTCGTCACTACAAGGTAGAGATCTCACTCACTCTCTCTCCCTCCCACTCTCTCCCCTCTCTCATTCTCTCTCACTCTCTCTTTCTCTGCCTCTCTCTCGCTCTTTTCTCTCTCTCTCTCTCTCTCTCTCTCTCTCTTTCTCTCTCTCTTTCTCTCTTTCACTTTCTCTTTCTCTTTCGCTTTCTCTTTCTCTTTTTCTCTCTCTGTCACTCTCTCTGTCATTCTCACGCTCTCTCTCACTCGTTCTCTTTCTCTCAATCGCTCTCGCTCCCTCTCACTCTCTCCCTCTCACTCCCTCTCTCGCTCTCTCTCCCTCTCTCGCTCTCCCTCTCCCTCACTCACTCCCTCTCTCGCGCTCTCTCCCTCTCTCGCTCTCTCTCCCTCTCTCGCTCTCCCTTTCCCTCACTCGCTCGCTCTCTATCGCTCACTCTCGCTCTCTCTCTCTCTCACACTCTCTCTCGCTCTCTCTTTCTATTTCTCTCGCTCTCTCTCTCTCGCACTCTCTCTCACTCTCGCTACCTCCACGGCCTCTCAGTTGTCGTGCTCCTCGTAGTGGTGGTTGTTGTGGCCTTCGTTGTATTCATCGTGGTAGCCATCGTGGCATTCGTCGACTGAGTGGATACCGTGGTGGTCGATTTTGTGGTGGTGGATTTTGTGGTGGTAGTTATCAGCCATTCCGGCTAAAAAGGAGATGGTTTTTGGTGACGTCGTCAAGTTGGGACGGGGCCTATCTTGTGCAGAATTTTGCGTTGATTCCGAATCTGTTTTGAAAATTAGCGACGTAGCGATGTGTAGAAAGTTATGAAGGTTTTTAGTCAGAAAAACCATAAAAAGTGGCTCATTTTTGGCGTTTCTCGGTCTTTGATCGTTCATAACTTTCGAAAAATCGCGATTCCGCTGTTTTGGTGGCAATATTCGGAATCAGCGCCAAATTCTGCACGAACTAGGCCCCGGTGGAAACTAAGCGGTAACTAAAAAAATCCAAAAAAAAAATTAAAAAAAAAATGTTGGGTGGTACCCATACCTGGTACTTGACCTCTTTGACCCGCGTGTAGGTGGGCGCGAAATCGAGTGGTGTCCCCTGGAAATGTCTCGAATACCCCTGGAACCAGTGGTTTTTCGTAGGGGGCTAACAGGTACTTTTGCATTATCGGTGGGGGCAAATTTCTAAGCAAAAAAAAATCGATGTTTCGACCAAAAATGGCCTTTTTCCACCAAAATCTCTAAAAAACTTGCTGAGATCCCTCCTCGGCTTCCGGCGTTGCTGGGATCGTACAGTTCGACGTAGCGCCGCAGCAGCGTGCGTATTCCCCGACTGGCCGGGCTGTGCAACACCGCCAACTTGTGCGGCCACTCGGCAGGGATCTCCGCCTTGGAGGTCGTCGGATCATCTGAACGGGGAATTACCGCCATAATGCGGAATTTTGAATAGGTATCATAATGTCGAAAATCATAATGTCGAAATTTCATAATGTCGAAATTTCATAATGTCGAAATTTACATAGGCTAATATTACCGGTGAAACCGCCAAATCCTAGCCAAATGGCCCAAAATGTCTGAATTCAACTCGAAGGGGAAAGGAGCTAGAGCTTAGCTCTCTTCGGATTCGGATAGAGCGTGGTCGGAAATCCCCAAACTGATAAAAAAATTACGAAAAATTTTTTGTTTAAATTATTAAATTGAACTTTTAAAGTTTGCCTTACTAAAAGGTGTGGGGGGGCATAGCGAGCCAGGTCGCGTGCGTTTCGGCGAACGGGAGGGAGCGCACAGGGGGTAGCCCGAAGTCCAGTCGCTGGTAATTCAGAAGATGAGAACCACTTACCGCATGAAGTAAGTTCAGGCAAAGGTCGCCACGCCCTCGACCAGCATCCCGTCACAATGTCTGAATTCTTTCCGTTGCTGCAGAATGCGACGTAGTAGGGAGCCGTGCTCGGCAGGGCGCAAGCTAAAATTTGGGAATTTTGGACTTTTTGAAATTTGTACCTCAATTAAAAATTTTCAAAATTCTAGACGTTTAAAACAAATAGTTTCTCCCCTTGAAATCTGGTTAAATTAACTAAAAACACTATTAAGTGAAAACTAGGCGCTTCTGGAGTTGCACAAAAAAAATCGGGTTTCCGAGAGATTTTTCATTGTTTCACTTTTTTTTGGTTTTTAGAATTTTTTTTTGATGAGCATTTAAGTAGAAGGCTTTTGTTAAGAATGTTATGATAATGAATGATATGATAATTAATGTTATGAATTGTTTTTTACCGTGCAGTGGACACATACAAAAGAAAAATCGGACTGCCCTGAAAAAAACGTCTTTTTTTCATTTTTTGCTTTCGGATTTTTTTTTTACGAACATACCATAAACGACGTGCGTCCAGGTGACGCCGTCGTTGTTGAGGACTGTCTCGTAGAAGGCGATGCCCCAGTCGGCCCCTATTGTTTCCGCATTCTCCGTGACTGTCGCCAATGGCAGCTCGCGCTCCACCTCCACGCATCCTTCGACGGGGTGCCAGGGGCGGTGGGCCACGTCACATGCCACGTCCTGGAGATGATCGGAATATCATTGTATACCCAAACACCTTACATAGTGGAACGGCTTGAAGTCGGTGAAGTCGTCCGGCCCACGCGGGAAGAGTACACCGTAACCGAGGCGACCCTGGCGGGACTCGATCAGACGTTTCAGGTCGGCGGAGGCCTGCAATGGAACCGTATGTACGCTGGGGTACTGAGCCGCAGGGGTTGCGGCTGGCTGCCGAGCGCGGACACCGTGGCGGCGTACATCGGAGCGCCGCGTGAGGAAAGGGGGTGCTCGGGCAGGTCATCCCTCTCCACCGCCCCGTCCCAGTTGGTGAGCGTGGTATAGTGGATAGCGCGTTGGGCTGTCATTCTCACGGTGCGGGTTCGACCCCGCCCGGTGCAAATGCATTTTGCTTTTTCGCGGAAACCATCGTTTTTTTTCGTATTACAATACGTCGAGCTAAAACCAAAACTGTTGGTATATTTTTCGACGTTCTATCGAATGGCGTTGCAAAAATTCCGAGAAAATAACGAAAATATTGAGCTTCAAAAAATGGAAAAAAGGCCAAAAAATGCGCCGAAATGCGCAATGCACCCCTGGACGTCAATACTCACCGTATAGACAATGCGGGGCAGAGCGGAATCGGCCACTGAAAACGACAAAAATGAAGTGAAAAAAGAAAACTAAAAAACCTGGAACGCCACTTACCGCAGATTCCCGACGAGTAGGGCGTCGGTTTATTGACTCTGTCCCAGCACCCCACCCGATCGCCCAACGGACCCGATGTTGTTACTGGCCAGAAATCTCCGGAGCCCTCGGAGCAGAAATATCCCGCTTCGCACACTGAACAACGATTTTTTTGTGATATCAGATCTTAAAGGCCTCTAGACTGATGGTTTTCGCGAAAAAGCAAAAGAAGTTTCACCGGGCGGGGGTCGAACCCGCACCGTGAGAATGTCAGCCCAGCGCGTTATCCACTATACCACGCTCACCAACTGGGACGGGGCGGTGGAGAGGGATGACCTGCCCGAGCACCCCCTTTCCTCACGCGGCGCTCCGATGTACGCCGCCACGGTGTCCGCGCTCTGCAGCCAGCCGCAACCCCTGCGGCTGAGTACCCCAGCCTCCCAGAGGCCCTTCAGGGATTCCCAACCTTTTCGGGGCTCAAAAAGCAAAAACCATGCCGCGGGCGGGGGTCGAACCCCCAAATCCCCAAAATCCCCATTGCCTTAAGTCCAAGCCTAAGCCAGGACTGGACAAATCCTAGAGTAAGACAAAACCATGCCTAAGCTACGTCGAAACCAAGCCTACGCAAAGTTAAAGCTTAGCCTAAACTTGGCCCAGGCCTCAAAAAAAAACACTTGACCGACCGTAGGTGACCATGACCGTGGTGTTGTCAGGGTGTAGGATGTCCTCGCGGAAGGCGATGCTCGGCGACGCTCCAAAAGGTTCTGCGACGGACCTTTTGCACGTTCTGCCCTTCGGATCGTACGGTGGCCCGGATACGTCACAGTAGATTTTCTGAAGGTTGGAGTGCAGTTTACCCTCCACCCCAGCCGGCACGCAACCCTTGTATCTCGGCTACCTGTTCATCTACAGGTGTGTAAAGTATACCAAAATGTTCGACTTGCTCTGGCGAGTATTTTGGTATACTTTACACACCTGTAGATGAACAGCGAGCCGAGATACGGTAGGTGAATCCCGGTTGGAAGGGCAACTGCACTTAGGCCGAAAAAATAAATGTTTCGACCTACAATTCAATTTTTTATTAAAATTTTTAACGTTTTTATGCTTAGAAATAGCTAAGAACAACGTACAAGCGCATTCGCTTTTCATGCCTCAGCCCTAGACAGTGCCCGGATTGAAACAAGCTGAAACCCACCGGACGAAATAGCGGCTCGACCGTGGCATCCTCTTTTCGTGTTTCCTCGGAACCGCATTCGCCGTTAAAGCCAGCCTCCCATCGTTTGAACCATTCTTCCGACACTGCAAGAATTCGCTGTTTAGTTATATTCATATTCTTATCATAGCCAAGCCTAAGCCAAGCCTAAGCCAAGCCTAAGCCAAGCCTAAGCCAAGCCTAAGCCAAGCCTAAGCCAAGCCTAAGCCAAGCCTAAGCCAAGCCTAAGCCAAGCCTAAGCCAAGCCTAAGCCAAGCCTAAGCCAAGCCTAAGCCAAGCCTAAGCCAAGCCTAAGCCAAGCCTAAGCCAAGCCTAAGCCAAGCCTAAGCCAAGCCTAAGCCAAGCCTAAGCCAAGCCTAAGCCAAGCCTAAGCCAAGCCTAAGCCAAGCCTAAGCCAAGCCTAAGCCAAGCCTAAGCCAAGCCTAAGCCAAGCCTAAGGAAGCGCACCTGTTTCCGACGGTGGTTCCCCTCTCTTCGAGCATTGGCATTTCTTTTCTTTCTTTTCCGGCGGGATACGGTCTGCCGTTCCGTGGCACGAAAATTGGTCCGGCGACTTCTTGTCCTTGCCCTTGCTCCGGCAGACTTTGTGACCGGGCTCGGGGCATACTGCAAAAGAAACGTGGTTCTAGTGCGTTAGCGGGAGGGGGCTTCAACGGTGGTCCCCCCGATAATGCAAAAGATCCAAAAATTCCAGGCACGTCAGCCGCAAGCCATACCGTAATACACGCGATAGCCTTCGACCACCTCCCAAAATAGGACCGTATCCGGGTCGAACGAATTTTGGATGGGGCCCGGGTAGCAGCCGGTGGACGGGTCGTAGAAACGCGGCGTGTTTAACGCGCACGTCACCTGGAGGGAGGACTGTACTCTTAGCGGTAAGGGAGGGTGGGGGCAGGCTAGCAGAGTTTTTTTGGGGAAGAGAGAGGGGAGAGCGAGAGAAAGAGCGAGAGAAAGATAGAGAGCGAGAGAGAGCGAGCGAGCGAGGGAGGTGAGCGAGGGCGAGAGAGATAGAAAGAGGAGAGAGAGAGAGAGAAGGGGGAGAGCGAGATCGAGAGAGGGGAGAGAGATAGAAAGAGGAGAGAGAGAGAGAGAGAGAGAGGGGGGGGAGGGAGAGAGAGAGAGAGAGAGAGAGAGAGAGAGAGAGAGGGGGGAGAGAGAGCAATAGAGCCATTACGCTGTTATCGGCGATCCCGACGTCGGCAAGGAGCAGCAAAACGAGCAGCAGCCGCACCATGTTCAGGGTGAAGAGCGGAATTTGCGTTTTTCCGGAAATTGGGAGGAGCTCGAAACGGAGTCAAATCAGTGATCATGCAAATTGCATTCAACCGGCAATTTGCATGCCATATTTCTCTCCAAAACCCCAAAAAACTTTCCCCCTCACTCCTCCAAACTTACTTGGCGGAGATGGGCTGCCCGTTGCTGCTGCTCCTGTTTCTACTCGTTGCTGCCGACGTCCAGGCCCAGGGCGACAGTGTGAGTTTTGAAAAATACCAGCGTTACCTTACGGTACTGTACTGTTAACGGGGGTAAGCTTGGTAAGACTCCAGATGACCCCCCAGCCGGCCCCTAACTTTTGTATCTCTTTTCCCTGTTCATCTACAGGTGTGTGAAGTATATCAAAATACTCGCCAGAAAAAGACGAACATTTTGGTATACTTTACACACCTGTAGATGAACAGGGAGTCGAGATACGGTAGGTGGGGTCGGCTGGGGGGGATCTGGAGTTCGGCCTACTTTTTTTTCTGGTACTGCTCTGTTAGCGGGGGGGATTTTCTCTCTTACATCACCCCCCGCTAAGAGCCGAGTGCCTTCTTCGCTACCGCTCCTTGCAGGTGACGTGCGCGATCAACGGGCCGGCCCTGTACTCGGCGGAGACGGGCTGCTACCCGGGGCCAATCTCCAGTGATGACAAGTCGCTGCTTTTTCGAACTGATTACGACGGGTATCAGGTGAAATATGGTAGGTTTTATTGAATGGATTTCTTATATTTTTTTCGAAAAATCGATTTTTTGAAAAAAACGGCCGATTTTCGACGTTTTGAACATTTTTAAACCTTTTTATATAGTTTTTCTATTCAATAGATCGTGGTACTTTGCTAAAAACATTATGAAAATTTGATTTTTTGACAAAAACGCCGTTTTTGAGCAAAATTCCGACTTTTTGAACATTTTTAGAAGTTTTTCGGTAGTTTTTTAGTCAAACGATAGTATTTTACGGAGAATATTATTAAAACACTGTCTCCCCGATAATGGAAAAGAACCGGCAAAAACGATTTTTTTTCAGTTTGCCCGAAACTCGGCCAAATTGTGTGCAAGGATCCGTGGGGCTGCTACAGTGAGGCGACGCCCCATGGGGACTGCATGTGTAAAGATCCGGGCGGGCAGTCCGTTGCCAGTCGGTTTTTTTTGTTGGTACTTTTCGCCTAGCGGGGGGACATATTATGTCGTACCCACATACCGATGATATCGCTGCATTTTTCTAGGTTTTTAGTAGTTTTTGATGGTCAGAAATTTACAAAAAAATATGCAAAATTTCAAAAAATTTCAACATTTTGACCTTTTTTGCTATTTTTATATACTTTTCATTTATTTATATTTATTTGCATATTAAAACCCTTACTATTGCGCTACTAGGCTTTTGTCGGATAAAGGAAAATTGGGGCTTCCCCCGCTAATGCAAAAGCACCGTTCTCTTCAGTCACCGACGCGTACCTCGAAATGTGGAAGAACGGCTACGAGGCGAACTGCGGTTTGGTGAACGCCCCGAAGACGGGCGCCGTGTTGCCGAAGCTCGAGCGCGAAATGGTTGCCAGCTTACTTTGTTAATTTTCCAGTATGAATTGACGGTTTTTAAGCCCTTTTTTATTATTCCTGAAGGCAAAAATTTTACGATTTTTTGATTATAAAATACAATAATATACCTTTTTCGATTTTGCCAATTTTTGATCAAAATTGCGATTTAAAACTAAAAAAAAGTTTTTTGTAGTTTTTACTGTAAATACGGTTAAATTTCACCAAACCCCAAATTAAATTAAAAACTGACTTTTATGTTACCCGGCATTTTTTGAAGATGGCAAAAAAATTGGTTTCATCGAATTTTGTAGGCTCAAATTCTAAAAACAGATATATAATTAGTAAATTTTGAAAATTTCTCGAAGTTAAAAATAATTTTTTTAATTAAAAAAATCGATTTAGCAAAAAAAATAGCGATTTTGGATGCAGGCAAAAACTTGTAACTTTTTTAATTAAAAAAATGCATTTCTAAAAAAATTTTAATTTTTAAAAAACCTATTTTCCGGTGTACTGCGACGTGTCGGGGCCGCCGTACGCCGCGAAGCAGGGTGTGTGCAAAGGGTCATCGACGGAACCCGGGCAGCGTGCGGCGCGGAGGGCGCGGGGGCGCTGGGGCTGGGAAGTGGTATTTCGTGAGGATGTCAGCAACGACACGGGGCTTAACCGCCTCGTTACATATGGCGAGTTTTTCGGATTTGCCATAATTTTGTCGATATTTTGGTTCTGGACTCTTAGCGGGGGGGGAAATCAAATTTTTCCGGTGATCCTCTATAACAAAATATAGACATTTTCATAACATTTTATGTAGTTCTTAGATATAAAAACTATAAAAAATTGGGTTCTTTTGCATTATCGGGGGGGGGGGGGAAGAAATTTTTTTCTTAGAAACCAATTTTTTAAATATAAATATCGCAAATGATTTTAAACTATTTTTTACGATTCGTGAACGTAAAAACTTTACAAATGTGTATTAGAAAAGACAAAAAATATCGATTTTTCGACAAAAATTTTGAATAAAAAAATGTTTTTAATTTTTTACAAAATTAAATTTTTAAAAATTTTAAAATCCGGGATGAGTTCTAGTCAGTTTTTCTAGCCGAACTATGGTTTTATTATACGAAAAACATTGTGAAAATACTTCCTATTAACTTACTAGGTTTTTCTAGCGAAATACAAAAAATTTGTCCCTCCCCCCGATAATGCCAAAAATCCAAAATTTAGGAATTTTTATACATTTAAAATTTATTTTTTATGTTTATGTATTTTTATATTATCTTCAATTAATTTTTATTATCTTTTCAGAATGTTCGATAGACACGGAATTCTGTGCGGAGAGCGACGCGAAGGTTCCGCTTCGACCCGAGATGACACCGGGACCGCTTGGCGACGCGACGGGATGTTGGAAGAATGTGAAAAGGAGGGCCCCCCACGCGTCCGGCATTTGTGGTACGGTATTTTGGCTTTCTTGCGTACGTAGCTGATCTATTCTAGAGCCAGATGGAGCCGCCGAGCCGCCGAGCTTTGTGTATCGGGTAAGTGGCTGGTTCTGGCCTGTTAGCGGGGGGGGGGCCACTTTCTGTTTTTCCGCCTAAACCTGTCTGTTGATGCGATATAATTTATTTTGATAGGGTTTTTAGCGGTTGTTGATTGCTAGAACATTACAAAAAAATTTTTAAACTTTTTAAAATTCGACAATTTTTACCGTTTTTGGTCATTTTTATACATTTTTTACCCAAAAAGTCCAAAAAAATTCGAAAATTTTTAGTATTGTTTTCATATTATTTTCATATCTAAAAACTATGTAAAATGCGATAAAAATAATTTATTTTTTTATAGGGTCGTAGAGAATTACTGGGAGAAATTTGGTGCCTCAAGTGCAGTTACCCCCCCCCCCCGGCCGGCCACCACCTACCGTATCTCGGCTCCCTGTTCATCTACAGTTGTGTAAAGTACACCAAAATACTCGCCAGAGCAAGACGAACATTTTGGTATACTTTACACACCTGTCGATGAACAGGGAGCCGAGATACGGTAGGTGGGGGTCGGCTGGGGGGAGGGGGGAACTGCACTCTAACCAATTTGCCCCCCCCCGCTAACAGTCCAGAACCACCGTAGATTTCGCACGACTTGAAGCGTCTGATCGAGTTCCACAAGGCCCGCTTCGGCTACGGCGTGCTGTACCCGCGCGGGCCGCGCGACTTCACCGACTTCAAGCCGTACAGCGGGGTGGGGGGAGCAGCATCGCCAATCGTCAAACGCTGTTTGCAGGATGAAGTGTGCGACATAGCCCACCCGCCGTGGCATCCGGTGTACGGTTGTGTGGAGGTGGAGCGCGAGATGGAGCACCATGACCCGGGCCTCGTCTTCTTCGAGAGGGTGCCGTTCAATGGGAAGTACAAGTCCATCAGATATGGTCGGTTTTTGTTCAAATTATCGGGGAACCAGCGCCCAAAACCCGCTTCGCGGGCCTTGGGGTCTGTGGTTCAGTTTACCCCCCCCCCACCCCACCTACCGTATCTCGGCTCCCTGTTCATCTACAGGTGTGTAAAGTATACCAAAATACTCGTCAGAGCAAGACGAACATTTTGATATACTTTACACACCTGTAGATGAACAACGAGCCGAGATACGGTAGGTGGGGGGGGGACTAGGGGGGGGTACTGAACCACAGCCCGATCCCATCGGCCTGTTGGCTCATTGGTTTTGTGTTCGCTTGCCGCGCACAAGGCCCGGGTTCGACCCCCGGCCGTGACGGGGCTTTTTGCTTTTTGACCAAAAGCTGGGAGCGGGATGGTGCTGTTACCCTTGCTGTTCCAGCGTGCGCCCAGCCGAGCACGGCTCCCTACCACGTCTCGTTCTGCGACAACGGGAACATGACCGGAAACAGTTCGATCGTGACGGGATGCTGGGCGGGGGTAGTCAGAAGTAACCCTCAATCAATGGAATGTGGTAGGGCCGTTTCAGTTTACCCCCCCCCCCCGCCGGCACCCACCTACCGTATCTCGGCTCCCTGTTTATCTACAGGTGTGTAAAGTATCAGGTTGGAAGGTAAGTCCTGTCGCCGAGATTTTGGAAGGCTGGCTAAAATCGTAGTTAGCTTCATTCTGCACATGCGATATGTCATTTTGTAGCTCTCTTCCTGAACCGTTTCGGGAGGAGGGTCCTAGCCCGCCAAAATCGAGGAGGACCGAGATACGGGCCCAAGAAGTTTTTGGAAAAATTGGGCGAAAGTGTTTTTGCAAGTTATCTCTGCATAGAGTGGTGTGCATACGATTACCTATTTACCAATCGATAGCTCTCGAGGGTAGATATCGATAGATCTTGAGATCATCAAAATTGGACACTGGACGGCCGAGATATGGGCTTTTGAAATTTGGACGATTTCTTAGAACTTTTCTCAAAATCCCATACATTTGGTTGAATCCGCCCGGCCGCCGTCCAAAAATAAAGCGGCCATTTTCGGCACCTGCCGGTCACCCGAAATGTATGGGGATTTTGAGAAAAGTTCTAAGAAATCGTCCAAATTTCAAAAGCCCATATCTCGGCCGTCCAGTGTCCAATTTTGATGATCTCAAGATCTATCGATATCTACTCCTCGAGAGCTATCGATTGGTATATCGATAATCGTATGCAAATCACTCTATGCAGAGATAACTTGCAAAAACACTTTCGCCCAATTTTTCCAAAAACTTCTTGGGCCCGTATCTCGGTCCTCCTCGATTTTGGCGGGCTAGGACCCTCCTCCCGAAACGGTTCAGGAAGAGAGCTACAAAATGACATATCGCATGTGCAGAATGCAGCTAACTACGATTTTAGCCAGCCTTCCAAAATCTCGGCGACAGGACTTACCTTCCAACCTGATATACAAAAATACTCGCCAGACCAAGATGAACATTTTGGTATACTTTACACACCTGTAGATGAACAGGGAGCCGCGATACGGTAGGTGGGGGTTGGGGGGGGGGTATATGAAGTCTTACCTGTGGTAGTTTGGCCGATAGATACCACGACTCGAATTTCAGAGGATCCCTACATCCCCACCGCCCCGACCACCCCCAACGGCAACTGGCCCGACAGCGTGGGCAGCGTGCTGCACAGCCCTGTCAGCCCCGGGTTTTTCGCGCTGTTCGACGCCTACAAGAAGAGCGTTCGTTTTTGATGGACTGGGCTGTTAGTGCTCAGCCGCAGGGGTTGCGGCTGGCTGCAGAGCGCGGACACCGTGGCGGCGTACATAGGAGCGCCGCGTGGGGAAAGGGGGTGATCGGGCAGTTCATCCATCTCCGGCGCCCCCACCCAGTTGGTGAGCGTGGTATAGTGGATAGCGCGCTGAGCTGTCGTTCTCACGGTGCGGGTTCGACCCCGCCCGGTGCAAACTTCTTTTGCTTTTTCGCGCAAACCATCGTCCCAGAGGCCTTTAAATAAAAACTAACGATTGGCGTACTTTTTAGATAGAACCGCTCGCGATGCCCTCGCCCACCTACGTCAGGGACGCCAACCATCAGTATCCGGTAGGTTTCCGGAAAGGCCGCTGTTTGCCCTACGAAATCGAAATTTGTGCTATGCTATAATTCTGCCAACCCCCCCGATAACGCCAAAGAACCGGAGGTTTTTTGCAGGATGACTGGCGGATCACTATCGCCACGGCGCCCACCACCACCACCGCGATGACGACCGAGGCCACGCATGGGACCAACCCCACTCGGCTCATCGTCACTGAGCCCAGTTGGAGGTACTGGGCTCTTAGCGGGGGAACCAATTTTTTACCAGCATAAAAATTAGCTAAGACTCCAGTTAAAGTCAGTCCCCACTGCTAACAGAGCAGTACAACGATTTTCCTGATTTTCTAGTGACGAAGGATGGGTGCAATCGCGTGTTTTCGTGCTCTGTCTCGTCGCCTTGTTCGTGCTCACCGTCTACTTTAAAAATAGTAAGTTTTTTGGCGGGAGAGAGCACGAGCTAGGAGAGAGAGAGAGATTGAGCACGAGAGAGCGAGTGAGTGAGAGCATGAGAGAGTTAGACTGCGCACGAGGGTGAGCACGAGAGAGAAAGAGAGAGAGAGAGAGAGAGAGAGAGAGAGAGAGAGAGAAAGTGTGAGAGAGCGAGAGAGCGCAGGAATGAGCGAGCACCATAAAGTTAGAGCGAGAGAGAGAGAGAGAGTCAGAGAGAGTGAGAGAGAGAGCACGAGAGAGCGAGAGAGTGAGAGCGAGTGAGACTGAGCACGAGAGTGAGCACGAGCGAGAAAGAGAGCGAGAAAGTGAGAGAGAGAAAGAGAGAGAGAGCGCGAGAGCGTGAGATCCCCTTTTTTCCAGAAAAATACGAGCCACCCCCACCAGTGTCCTGGCTGGAGACGTCGACGCCAGAAGATGCACAACGCCCCGACGCCCCTCAAAATCCCGCGAAACCACCCGACGACACCGTCAAGTCGGCCAAGAGCAGCGCCATCGTCTAGCCGACGTCTTCAACAAGTCCAGCCATTTCTGCTTCTCTATTTCTTTCTTTCTCTCTCTATTTATTTATTTCTTTCTTTCTTTCTTTCCTTCGTTCTTTTCGTGCATGTGTTTTTTGATTAACGTGTGAAGTGTAGATGTGCTGATGATAAACGAGTTGATAGGCATTTGAGAGTTCGCTTGATCCTGATGGCCGTAGCTAGGCGATTTTTGGGTTCTTGTTCGTTAGCGGGGGGGAAATAGGTCTACTCCGGTCGTCCTCCCGCTAACGGACCAGAAACTTTTTTGCTGGGTTAGGTAGATAAATACCAACGTAGACAACCTTCTAACGTAGATTTGGTGCTTTTGCATTATCGGGGGGGGTGGGTCCGAACTTTTTTGTTTAACAATCCCGTTAATATAAATAGCCGAAGTGTTTTTATCCTGTGTTTTTTTACTATTAATAAACCCAAAAACTACAATTTTGAGTAGAAAAAATACCAAAAAAATTATCGGTTTTCGACGAAAATTCCGAATTTCTGAAATTTTTTTGTAACGTTTTTTCGATAATTTACTCCATGCGAATATGGTTGCAGTTTACGAGAAAAACTATTAAAACAGCTACTCTTACGTCAGACGCCAATGCTAGAATTTTACAAAAAAAATATGTTTCGGCTCTGATAAATGTCGAGTGCCTGGTCGAGATGCCAATAAGAGTTTGGCAGGTGTTAGTCATCCAATTTTGCTAGTATCAATAAAGAAAGCGTTTCTGCACCGTGCTTTTTTATATGCCTAGACCCAAAAACTTTACAAATTTTGGTTAAAACATACAACAATATCGCATTTTCGTAAAAATCCTGAATCTCTTAAATTATTTTGAAACTTTTTTGATAATTTTTTCCATAATATGGTTGCAGGTTACGAGAAAAACTATTAAAACACCTACTTTTACTACAGACGCCAATATTGGAATTTTACAAAAAATATGTTTCGGCTCAGATAAATCTGGAGTGCCTGGTCGTGATTTCAATAGGAGTTTGGAAGGTGTTCATCATCCAATTTTGCCAATATCAATAGAGAAAGCCTTTCTAGACCGTGTTTTTTATATTCCTAGACCCAAATACGTTACAAATTTTGGTTAATACACACAAAAATGTCGGTTTTCGATAAAAATTCCGACTTCTGAATTTTTTGAAACTTTTTTGATAATTTTTTGCATCATATGGTTGCAGGTTACGAGAAAAACTATTAAAACACCTACTTTTACTACAGACGCCAATACTGAAATTTTACAAAAAATATGTTTCGGCTCTGATAAATCTCGACTGCTGAGTTGACATGTCAATAACGCTCGTCATCCTAATTTTGCTAATATAAATAGAGGAAGCGTTCCTATACCGTGTTTTTTTTATATTCCTAGACCCAAAAACTTCACAAATTTTGGTTCAAACATCCAACAATATCCTTTTTCGTAAAAATCCTGAATTTCTAAAATTATTTTTTAGATAGTTTTCCGTTTGAATATAGCTTCATTTTATAAAAAGACGATTAAAAATCTTATTATGACGTTAAAGTAATTTGCGCCATTCTACAAAAAAATATGTGTCGCCCCTGATCGATTTCGACTGCCCAGTTGGCATGTCAATACGAAGTAACAAAGCGCCTGATTTTTCGGTTTTTTTAAAGAAAATATTTTCGTAATTTTGACGCTTGTTAAAGGTTAAAATTCACTAAAAACTACTGTAGAACATCAAGAACGTTTCCTATTTTTCTTTTTGGCCAACGGGCTCTCCCCGAAAATAGATTATTTTTATGGGGGCCCCAGGTTTTTATTGGTTGCTGGAGGAGAGAGAGAGAGAGAGAGAGAGAGAGAGAGAGAGAGAGAGGGAGAGAGAGAGAGAGGGACCGAAAAAGATTCTAAAGAAAGGAAAAGAAAACAAAAAAGAACGGGGGCCCTACCACACCACTCCGATTCGCTCCACTGAACGGGCAAACCGGAAATTTGTGGCTGCCGGGCCCTTCTATGCTCGCTCGCTGTGGGGTAGGGGGGCCCGGATGAAAAATATCTTTTTCTGTGCTTGTTTTTCTTGTATTCTCTGTGTTTCCAAATAAACTCAGATTTTGGTGAGCCTCAGGAACTGATATTGATTGACTTGCATGACGGCAATTTGGACTACCAAGAACTACACTTCCCATAGAAAGCCGATTTTTAACGTTTTGTGAAACATTTTTTGAAAAAATATATGGAAGCAAGTTGACTGGGTATGCCCCGACGACGCTACGGCTAAAAATCACGATTCTGAGCATTTTCTGAACTTTCGTTCCGTAAACACAAAATTCAATTATTAATATAATATTCGAAACATCAATTAGTAACTCCAAAAACAAAATTTTTTCTTTCAAATTTTTTCCGAAACATCCTTTTTCGAAAAACTCGAGCGAATGTTCATCTGATTCTGCTCAAGATTAAAAAAATTTCCAAATGAAATCAGGTTTCAAATTACGGTTTTCCCGGCGTTTGCAGTTTTACTACGGATGACGCTTCCAATTACCTCTTTAATTTTTTCTGAAACATCATTTGTGGTAAATCGATTGAATCTTGATTTTGTCAGACCCCCGAAAGGTATTGACAGAGATAATTTAGGAATTTCTTCATATCCAGGTTATCAATCCAGATCCGATCGGGGATTAATGACGCGAAAAACAACCTTTTTTAATTTGCTATGAAACATTAATTTTAACAGGTTAAGAAACATGACTGGATTTCTGGTGAACCTGGTTCTTTTGAGCAAGCTCGAAATGTAATCGCTTCAAAACCGGCAAATTTATCGTTTTACAAACTAAACTGGCTCTTCCGGTGCTAAGCATTCCAAAACTTATTGACGCTAGGAAATGCATGTTTTTATTTTTTCTATTTTTACAAAAAAATCATCAAAAAAGCGATCGAATTTTATTAGTTGTTAAGATCCGGTATGAATTTAAATTCCGCTCCGAAAAATACGAATCATACGAAGGGTTGAATAAATTAATCGCTCTGAACAATATTTTTTTTTGAATTTTTTTCGAAACATCTGTTTTGAACAATTTTCGAATTGGGATTTTCTAGTTATAAATTCGAAAAATTAGTGATAGCCTAAAAAATTGTTGATATTTTTCAGCACCGCCACACTAATAGGCTGAATATTATCCGGATTTTTTTAATATTTCGCGAAACATCATTTTGCTAACAAAATCAATTAAATTTTACTTCCTTCCGAGACACGGAAGCCCTTCCCGGAATCGACCGCCGTGGTGAATAATCATCCGATTTATTCCTATTTACGCGCGAAAAGATTGAGTCTCTCTCAGCCACAAATCCGCCCCTCCTTTCAGGCGAATAATAAAAGAAGCCCTTCTTGGGGGCCGATTTTCATTTGCCCCTCCTCCCTCAACGTCAATCGGGTTCTCGCGGAATTTCCTCATTTTTGTAGAATTAAATTTTGAGGTTTTCCGGATTTTTGAGAAAGAATAATTTTTTAAATTTCCGCAAACCACCTCTGCTAGCTTGCCTTCCTAGCCCCCTCTAATGTCAATCGGATTCTCGCGGAATTTCCTCTTTTTGTAGGCTTGTGCTTTGTGATGCTTCACATTTTCCAAGTCAAATAATTTTTTAAATTTCCGTATTTTAAGAAATTTTACTTTTTTATTTTCCGCAAATCACCTCTGCTAGCTTGCTTTCCCAGCCTCACTAATTGCATCCAGGTTCTCACGGAAATTCTCATTTTTGTCGTGGATATTTTGTGATTTTATTTTATTAAATATTACTTTAATTGAAGCATCCGAAAAATCTAGATTCCGCAAATTGCCTCTGCTAGCTTGCTTGCCCCATCGATTCTCATTTACATTTTCATTCATTTTTGCTATTTTTCCAGCTGTATTTCTAGCATGATCCCTGTTTTCCTTAGATTAAATGTTACTTAATTTAAAATTTGATGTTCAAATTGTGAAACGTTTTATTTTTCACAAAAATCTTTCCATTTTTCCAATTGAGCTAAATTTTATGTCTTAATTTTAATTTTTTCGTTTTATGGTTATCGCTTTGGTGATTGCGGCAAGTTTTCTCTGCTAGCCTGCTCCTAATTTTTCTAAATATTTCGTTCTATCCTATTTCTAAATTTCAATTCACGGCATCCGACTTTCGACTAATAATTCTCGCCGCCAGCTGGCACTGGTTGCAGAAAGTTTTTGAAACACATGGTTTCCAGCGAAAATTCGAATTCATGGAGCCTTTAAAGATTTTAGTTTCAGCAAGTGACTGTATTTCGGGTTAAATTTTAATTTTGGGCGCTCCGCAAATATTCTCTGCTAGCATGCGATCGATTCAATTCTCTTGATTTGTCGGGATTTGAGCACCAATTCCTGTGACAAACTGCGCCCACTTCTGCCAATTTCACGAAACATTCTTTGTTTCTTGTAGGATTTTTTGCGTATAGAAAGAAAGCGAAAGGAGAAAGAGACAGAGAGAGATAGCGAGAGCGAGAGAGAGAGAGAGAGAGAGAGAGAGCCAGAGAGAGTGAGAGAGAGCGAGAGAGCGAAAGAGAGAGATCTACAAAAACAGAAATTCTCCCAGATTGAATACCCCCTAACTATGGTCCCCCCAGGCCATCAAACAAGCTGCCACCCCTTTTTCTGGGCCCGCTGCCCCCTTTCACTTCAGATTCCCTTTAATCCCCGGCTGACATGGAATACTCCCCCAAGAAATGGGCCGGAGAGAGAGAGATAGAGAAATTCCGAAACACTACGCGCGAAACGCTAGAAGACCCCCACTCTCCAGGCGACCCCCCACAACTTGAGTGACATTTTCGGGGATTTGGCTTTTTGCGCATTTGATTTTTTTAGGAGTTGTATCTTGATTTTATGATTTATGGCCGATTAAAGGGAGCGAGACAGATGGTGTTTTCGATGTTTAGTACCCTTTAAAAAGTGGTGATTCGATTTGGCATCAATTTAGTTTTAAGGAATGAGTTTGACTTGTCGCTCC